GGAGAATGGACATTTTCATGAAAGTCTGAGTCCTTGTGCAATGCCAGTCCTGTTGGTACCTAAGAAGGATGGGTTTGGAGGATGTATGTGGATTTCTGGGCTATGAATAAAATCACGGTTAAGTATAGACACCCCATTCCTCAACTTGATGATATACTCGACGAGTTAAGTGGTGCAAGCCTCTTCACCAAGATTGACTTAAAAAATGACTACCATCAGATCCGTATGAATCCCAAAGATGAGTGGAAGACTACCTTTAAAATGAGATACGATTTGTATGAATGGTTGGTTATGCCCTTTGGGTTGATTAACGCTCCTAGCACCTTCATGCATTTAATGAATCATATTTTACTAGCATATCTTGGTAAGTTTGTAGTTATTTACTTTGATGATATTTTAGTATATAGAAAATCATTAGAAAATCATGTTGAGCATATTAAAAGTGTCCTAAAGATACTGCAAAAAAAAAGTTTGTATGCTAACCCCAAAATGTGTACCTTTTGTGGTAAAAACTAATCTTTTTGGGCTTTGTTGTTAGAACACAAGGTATTGGACAAGAAAGTAAAAGCCATTAGAGATTGGCCTATGCCTAAGACTGCAAGCGAGGTGAAGAGTTTCGATAGACTAGCCAATTTCTATTGATGATTTGTAAGGGATTTCAGTTTCATAGCTACACCTTTAAATGGACTTGTTAAGAAGGACTCAAAATTCATATGGAGTGACAAACAGGAAAATGATTTTATTTTACTTAAAGAAAAGTTGTGTATTGCGCCTATTCTAGCATTACTAAATTTTGACAAAATATTTGAGCTTGAATGTGATGTTTAAGGAATCAGTGTAGGAGCAGTATTGCAATAAGACAGGCACCCCATTGCTTATTTTAGTGAAAAGTTCAATGGCACACCCCTTACTTACTCCACCTATGACAAAGAACTGTATGCACTAGTGAGAGCATTGGAGGTATGGCAGTATCATCTCCTGCCCAAGGTGTTCATGATCCACACAAATCATGAATCATTAAAATATCTAAAGGGATAGGGTAAACTTAACCGTCGACATGGTAAGTGGCTGGAATGAATTGAAACATTTTCTTACGTCATCAAGTACAAGAAAGGTAAGGAAAATATTGTAGTGGATGCATTATCATGGAGGTATGTATTACTTATAACTTTAAATTATAAATTGTTAGGCTTCGAGTATATTAAGAAATTATGTCCCAATGATAGTGACTTTGCTAATGTTTATGCAGCATGTGAAAAATGTGTCTTCCAGAAGTTCTATAGGCACAATAAGTTTCTATTAAAAGATATAAAATTGTGCATACCTATATGCCCCCAGCGGGAACTGTTAGTACGTGACTCACATAGTGGGGGACTCATGGGACATTTTAGGGTAGCTAAGACTCAATTATCTTATAGGGACACTTCTACTGGCCTAACATGTGCAGGGATGTAGAGCGAGTGTGTGAAAGGTGTATTGCACGTAAGCAGGCTAAGTCTAGGTCCTTACTGCACAGATTGTACACTTCGTTATCCATTTCCTCAGCACCATGGACGGATGTGTCTATGGATTTTATGTTAGGGTTACTAAGGACTAAGTGAGGAAGTGATAGTATATTCGTTGTAATGGACAAGTTTAGTAAAATGGCACACTTTATAGCATGCCATAGAGCAGATGATGCAATAAATATAGCCAATCTATTTTTCAATGATGTCGTGCCGCTACATGGTGTCCCTAGGACCATAGTTAGTGATAGGGATGTCAAATCATAAGTAACTTTTGGAGAGTCTTGTGGAATAAGTTGGGGACTAAACTATTATTTTCCATTACCTGTCACCCCCAGACATATGCATTGGCAGAAGTAGTTAATAGGACTTTAGGAGCCCTATTAAGGGCAATAGTTGGAAAAAAATTTAAAAACATGTGAAGTGTTTACCTTTAGTGGAGTTTGTTTATAAAAGGACTATTCACTCTTCCATAGCTTATCTCCTTTTGAGGTTGTAGATGCGTTTAACCCATTAACCCCACTTGACTTAACTCTTTTACCTATAGGAACTTGCTAATCTAGATGGACAACAAAGAGTAGAGTTACTCAAAACTATACACAAAAAGGCACGTGAACACTTAGAGAAAAAGAACAAATCATATGCCTGCAAAGCTAATAAAGGGAGAAAACAAGTCACATTTCAATCTAAAGATTGAGCATGGGTCCATATGAGGAAGGAAAGATTTCTTAAATAACGAAAGTCAAAACTGGACCCTAGAGGAGCTGGCCCGTTCCAGATCTTGAAGCACATCAACGACAATGCCTACAAGATAGACCTCCTATGTAAGTATGGCATTTCCACCACATTTAATGTTACTGACCTTTCCTTTTTCGATGCAAGTCTAGATTTGAGGATGAATCCTCTTGAAAAGGAGGGAGATGATGTGAGCATGGATCATCTTAGGCCACTTGGAAGAGACATCACCATGCCAAGTGGGCCCATAACAAGGGGCCAAACCTAAGGATTACAACAAGTTTTCCAACTCTTCATCCAAGCTTAGATTAATGAGGAAGATTTGTTTGGATCCACTAAAAAAGCCCAATAAAATAAGTTACCCAACCAATTAACCCAATAGTATAATGGTTTTATTAGCTTGCTTCAAGCACATGATGAAAATAGGTAAGAAAATGAAGCAATCGGCCAAGAAAATGGGGAATACCATATCTATTGGTAAGAAAAGGAAACAATCGGCCAAGAAAAGAGGGAGACCATATCTATCCTATCTAGGAATTTAGATTTTAATTTAATTAATCTTCTATGTAATTGCACTTAGTTAGAAATTTAAAACTTTAATTTTAATAATTTACTAGGTAATTGCATCTAGTTAGGGATTTAAACTTTAAATTTTAATTAATTTCCTATGTAATTGCAATTTTAATTAAGAAATTTTTATTACCTTTTTATTCATATGGCTTACCCTATAAATAGATTATCAAGTCTTCATTATAAGCATTTAAGATTAAAGTCAATAATATTATAAATGTTATTCAATAGAGGTGTCTTCATCCTTCTTGTTGAGTAAGAAGTGGATCTACTTATCAAGTAGATCTCTATGGCGTTTCTCCATTCTTCTTTTAACTCTCCATTTCCTAGTGAGCTTAGTTCCCATCATTCTTCATAGAGGGTTAAGTAGGGAGGGTTTTTATATGATCAAATTCCTTTGGTACCTCGAACAAAATTGTGTGAGTTCTTGATCATATTGGTTGATCTTAGGTTTTGCATCATTATGTGATTCGTGAAATCACACTTCCAACATATTATGTGATGTGGTTTAAATGATTACATTTCTCAACATATTGCATGTCTTGACGTGATTAGAGAATTTTCATCATATAGCTTGATGTAATTAAGAGGATCACATATCTTAATACATCACAAAAAACTTCTGCACATAACCTAATGTGATTGAAAAATTCTTTTCTCTCAACAATTAAAATATCATCTCCATTTATCTTTAATAATCTATTATCTATTTTTTCTCTTATGAATCCCTTTATTGAGAATAATTTACTAAGACATTTAACCAAACTCAGATATTGCTTAAACCATATAAGGTTTCAATGAGTTATAGACATGATTAGGAAGGCATCAATAGAGATCAAGGTGACACAAATCATCATAGGTCACATAGAAGCTCAAAGAAACATAAAAGCTAATGACCACATGAGGGATCATGGCTACATAAGCTTAAGAGTTCACGGCCACAAAGGAAATCATGACTATGTTTGACGTCCTGATGCCAAATAGGAGCACCAACGTATGATAGAACATACATAATATAAATATTTACATTGCAGTGAAAATATACATCCCATAAAAAGTTTACGAAAGATTGTATGCTGAGGCCCAGTAAGCTATCTACATTTCAAAATATAAAATAAAAGATAACCAAGTTACAAAATACTAGCCTCAAGTCTAAAATAAATTACGGAGTCTGCTCTAAACTACACCTCCCGAAAGGAATCTAAACGGGGTTCTGTAATGTTTTCCTTCAAATCTGCATCTTAGGGGAGGTTGAATCTGGGTGAGTTCCAATACTTAATAAGATAGATAGAAATAATGCACTACAGATACGTTTCAAAACCTTAATAAATGTATACTTGAAAAACAGGAGTTCTCAATTTAATTAACATATCAAATCAAATGTCATAGTCAAATCCCATAACAAATATTCATATCCAATTCAAATGCTCATCTCATACAAATTGTTATAAGGACGTCCAATATCGTACTCGATCGGTTTACACAACTCATGCACCCATGACAAAACTCGTCTTTTGACATAATTTTAATTAACTATTATTATCTTAATTTAAATTACACTTATTACAAATCTACACGCACAGTCGCTTACATCTATTATCAAAAAGGGCAAATAGGATACCAACTAGTCATGGATGAGTGAACAAATGTTTACATACATACAATCACAGATAACAAATACAAATGTAATTCTCTAAGTCTCTCAATGTCACCATCATTCATGCCCTTAGGCCCTATAACATGTATATCAAATCGCCCAGTGTTTACAAATAAGCAAACTAAAACCAGCACCATAACATAGTGGCTCCAAAACAAATAAGCAAACCAAATACCTCCCGAAGAAAATACGGTGTGTCGGATTTAAACCAAACTCTGTGTTTATTTAAATTTTTTACTTTCATTTTATTTTGTTAAATTCTTAGACTTTATTATCTTTCCCTAAATTTATAAAGTTTATTGTAATTCTAGAAAAATAAAATGTTAATTCTTCTCAATACTTTAGTTTATTTTATAACTTGTGAATTTTCTTATCTTTATATTTAAATCTTAATATTACTAAGAGAATTTAACTATTAATTAAGTATAGTTTTTATCTTTCCATTTTAATTTAAACCATTCTTCCTTACTAATTGATCCATTTTATCTTAAATAATGTCAATAATCCCAAAAGTTTAAAAATTTTCTTTTTTCGTTTAACTCATCCCGTGCTCAAGGGCCATTTCTGAACTGTTCTGGGTGTCCAGCAACGTCCCACGCATGCCCGTAAGCTACAGAACAATATACGCCCAACAGCAGCAACACCTTGGTGCTGCATGCCTGTGACAGAATCATTCAATTTAGTTCCTTCAAAAATTTTTTCTACTTTCTTTGTTTTCTAAGCATCAATCACCAACACCCATTTACTCTATTCATTCATGCATAAAACATATCATCTTAATTTGTAAAAACCATATTTCATGACACACACACACATTAACTAAATATATGCGGCATCACCAATTCACATTACGAATTGAGAGCTGGATTTTTGTATAGAACTGACCGTAAGACATTAAAGAGATAAACAAAATAATTCACAAGAAGAAGAAACAACTTACCTCGGCGAGAAGAAGAAGTTTCCCCTCTCTGTTACGCACGCCAAATGTATACTCTGTTCTGGTGCGTCACTCGCTCCCTCTCTCTACTGTTTTCTGCTCTCAACCTCCCCTTTCACTCACTTGTTTAACTGGAATTTTGGGTTTTAAGAGATGAAGACGAAGTTGTGAAGAGAAGATCTTAACTGAATTTTGCCCATCATCTGACCGTCCAAACTCATGCACGGCATCACAGCCGTTGGTGCTTTCAGTGGCCGATGAAGGCTGGCACGGAAGACCAATTTGTTTCTTGACACTTGGCCGGTCCTCACAACAGCCCACCATGTGGCTCCGTTATGGCCACAATTTTTGTGTTAGTGGGTGTTTGCTTTATATTTATATTATACATATATAATTATATATACATATACATACACGTCTATGTATTTATTCCTATGCTTATATATTTATACATACATATTTATTCATTTATGTATTTACACACATGTTTATTTATTCATACCCACATCTAGAAAAATTTAGTTCACTTCACGTGTATAAATGTATACTTTATTTTTTTTATTATTCAATTCATTTAAAATAATAATAATTTTTTATTATAATATAACAGTTAACTGTGTGTTTATATATACTGACTTTAACAAATTTTTATAAATTTTATTTATAAATATAAATTAAATAAATATATAAATATAAAATTTTTAATAAAAATATAATAAAATGTATTATAGATATGCATACGACCTAAGTATAAATTTATTGAGTTTGTAGAGCATGTATAAGTAAACATTAAGTATGAATGAATGAACAAATATATGTGGATAAATAAACATAAATAAATATATATAAGTATAGTAATATATAAACGTGTGTACGCAAATGTATGTAAATTTGTATAAACATATATATATATATATATGTAATAAATATGAACATCTATGTAAATGCGTATAAACATAGATTGACATATATATATATGTAATAAATATAAACATGTAATATTAAGTATACGTAACAAATATAGAAATTCAGGAATAAGATAGATATGTTTATAGACATACAACTGTGTATGCATATATATATATATATAAGTATATATATATATGTGTATATGTAAATAATAATAAAATAAATATATGAACTGAACTAAGTTTATAGACGTAAATAAACATATATAATTAAATAAATATATATGTATAAATGTATAAACATAGGAATAAATATATAGATGTGTGTTTGTGTGTGTATATATAACTATATATGTATAGTATAAACATAAACTAAACACCAACAAACACCACAATTGTGGCCATAACCGAGCCACATGGTGGGCTGTCGTGAGGACCGGCCAGCTATCAAGAAAAATTGGCCTTCCATGCCACCCTTGGTCGGCCAACAAAAGCACCAACGACTGTGATGTCGTGCATGCATTTGGACGGTCGGATGATGGGCCAAATTCAGTTAAAAGCTTCCTTCTCTTCACAACTTCATCTTCATATTCTTCAAACCCAAAATTCCAGTTAAACAAGAGAGTGAGAGGGGAGATTGAGAGCAGAAAATGGAAGAGAGAGAGAGAGAGAGAGAGAGAGAAAGCTAGAGAGAAACCACGTACCCAGAACAGAGCATCCGTTCTGGATGCGTGACAGAAATGGATTTTCATCCTTCACACCGAGGTAAGTTGATTTTTCTTCTTCTAGATTATCTTCCTCACTTCCTTAGATGTTTATGATCACCTATATACGTTACACAGTCACCAAAATTACTGCAGCAAGCTTCGAAAGTTGAAATTGTGCTGCTGTATCGGAACAACACCCCTATTCAGGTAGGTGTTTGTTCTTCGTTTAAATTCATTCCTAATTTGTGCTTTTCTTTCCTAATCTTGTACTTAGTTGTTAAAATAACAAGTTAGGAGCGTCAGGACATTATTTCTAAAAGTTAAACGAATCATAAACTTGAAAATTAATCAAAACTCTCACCATACTCTGTTTTAATTATCATAAGTTGCAGAGGAGAATTTTCTGAAATTTCCAGCATTCCTTCATGCAAGATTTGCATCCGTTTCGCGTATACATCAGTTAAGATATACTAAAATCTTATTTATGCATGATATACAATTTTTAGATGTTTTAAATAAAATGTTTTGGTGAATTAATCCTGCTGTGTGTGTGTGAAAGGAAAATAGAGTGCGTGTGCGTGTGAGTGTTATAATCTGGTTTTCATGAATTTAAAATAGTTTATTTTGAAAATTATTTGAAGTTATCAGTGTGGTAACCAGGAATAATGTTTGGAAAGCAAAAGAATGAAGATCAATTTGAGGAAATGAGCAAAAAAGGCTCTGTTTATAGCAAGTAGCATCACCGTGTTGCTGCTGCTGAATGGAAGTGAAATATTTGGGTTATAGCCGTGCAAAAGGGATGCTGCTGGGCACCTAGATTTGTCTAAGGACTTCCCTGCACACGGGTTGGCACAACGACAGTGTGTAATGCGGACATCGGACACTGTCAGGCACCGAGTGTGCTGAGAATGTTGCGCGGGCACGTACATGGTGTTGCCATGCGTATTGGTGTGTATATATCCACCGGGACTGTAATCAAGATGCCTTCGCACTTCCATATCTATCCCACGGCATGGCACATTGTAGCCGGCCAGTGCGCCGTGCTGATTCGGCATCTATGGACACCAAAGGATCTTCGCGGGTAGTGCTTCCTGTACCGCAAGTGCTGGTAGGAGGGAAATTCTTTCTTGACCATAGGATAAATAAAAACGAAGTAGGAATGAATGAAATTAAAATATGGAAATTTACAACTTAATTTGAGTTGATAAAAAAATTAAATAACTAAATCTCTAATTAATAAATAAATTAATAAAATTTAAATTAAGTGTAAAAGAATAAACAAAATAAAATTTTAGTTTTTATAATTAATTTAAAACTCTAAACTACATAAATAAAATTAAAAGATAAAAACTTGAACATAGAGTTTGATTGAAATCTAATTCACCGTATTTTCTTCGAGAGATATTTGTTTTGATTATTTTTTTCGGAGTGACTAGGTTATGGCTGCTGGTTTTGGTTCCTTCACATAACATGTAGTTCAGTTGTCCCCAAGGACTCTGAGCGATTTGATATTCATGTTCTGGAGCTCAAGGGCATGAATGATGACGATATGGAGAGACCTAAGAGTATTTCATTTGTATTTGTTATCTGTGAATGTATATTTGTAAATATTTGCGCACCCACCCATGACTAAATGGTATCCCGTTTGCCCTAATTGAAAATAGGTGTAGGCGGCTTCGCACGTAGGTTTATAATCAGTGAAATATAATTTAAGATAAGTAATTTCTAATTAAAATTGAGTTAGAAGGCGAGTCCTGTCCTATGTGCGTGAGTTGTGTAAACCCATTGAATGTAGTATTGATTGCTTTTGTGATAATTTGAGTAAGATGAATATTCGATTTGGATGGAAATATCGATTATTTGACTTAGCAATGAAATTGGATCTAATTTGTTTTTAAATATTATTTTCCAACTATACATTAATGAAGGTTTTTAAACTTATCTGTGTTGCATTATTTCTATCTACCTTATCAGTATTGGGACAAACTCAAATCCAACCCCCCCTTAGATGCAGAGTTGGAAGAGAACACTGAAGAACCCTATTTAGATTCCTTTCAGGAGGAATAGTTTGGAGCAGACTTGTAGTTTGTTTTAACTTGAGGCTAGTAGTTTGTATTTTGTAATGTAAATAGCCTATTTTGCCTCTGGATGCAGCCTTTTGTAAACCTTATATGGGATGTATAGTTACGGTGCAATGTAATGCTCTTTTGTACATTGGTGTCTTATTTGGCATCGGGACTTCACATATAATTTCTTTCAAAATCCCATTATTGAGAATATTTCTTTTACTAAAATTTTATAGGTTCATTTTTTTTTTACTTCTGAAAAATTGTAATTAAATTTATAAGTATTTATTAGTGAACAAATCATACGACTAAAAGATTTTATTAGACAAAGGTATAACGGTAGCACACAGCTGACTGTTACACTATGTGAGCTTAAAAGATCTCGACCACATTAAAGGAGAGCAAGACACAACTCAAGATGGAGCTCACGACTTCATGAGCTTAAAAGGTCATGGTTTAGGCCTCATGAATAATAAAGGTTGGCAAGGTCCAAATAAGTGGAAATCAAAACTGAATTCAAGTTGAGCAAAGTCCACATAGAGAGAAGTCTAAGATAGATCTAGTTCAAGGTGCAGATGGTTATATGGATGAAGTACCACTATGTCAAGTGGAACAAGGATAAGATCATTGGCCAATAAAGTCACGAAAGACTTTCAAGTTTATGTTAAAGGATAGATCTATAAAGAAAGAAGTCTTGGGCTAAACTTAGAAGGCCTTAAAGGTGGAGGCGTGAATGATACAGAACTTGGAATCAACAATGTAATCTAAGACCTAACATATAACATCAACATGCATAAACTTAAATCCCAAAGTAAAGCTTCCTTATTTAACCCACAATCAATAATGTGAAGACAAACTAAGGTAACTGAGAATTATTAAATTTTGAATTGAAAAGACACCACGAGCTTTCCTCGATAAGTAGATCTAATTCCTAGCTCAACGAGACAGTTGAAGAACCTCCCTAAAGAGCACTCATAATTAGCATACTAAAACTAAAATAATTCTTGAATTTGATTAATTTTAAAGTGATGTATGACAACCTAATGCTGAACCCTTTATATAGGCATTCACCCGAACTAGTTCTACTTGAACTCAAAAAGTAAAATCCAAGAATAATTCTAATTACAACTCGATTTAGAAAAATATCAAAATAATAATTAAAAAGACATAAACCAAGTAGAATTAAAAATCTTATCTCCTGACAAGTGGTGGTGTTTTAGCCAAAATCTCCACATATTATTTGACTTGGATTTGGTCTTTAATATTTAATAAATTTTTACTGTAGAAGTTGAGTTGAAGATGCTTTAAAAGCTTTCAAATTGAAGTAGAAAACAATTCCTCTTCCATGAGAAAATCAAGGAGAAAATCTATGGGAAAAGCTAGGAGAAAATCTAAGAGAAAATGTAAAAAAAATTCAAGAGAAAATCTAGAAAAAAAATCTGAGAGAAAATCTAGGAGAAAATCAAGAAAAAAAAAATCCAAGAGAAGATCTAAGAGAAAATCTAGGATTTTCTACCATGAGATAAATAAGAATATAATCCTGGCCATGACTTGTAGTAATAGGATTATTTTTCTCTTGTTATGACAAGGATTCTAAATTGATAAAAAATATCAATTTTGATGATGTAAATATCTTGAAATCTCGCCT